TGAACCCCTAAACACTAAACTCTAAATCCTCAAACCCCTAAATCCCTAAACCCCTAAACCCCTAAATCCCTAAACACTAAACGCTAAACCCTCAAACCCCAAAACCTGGTCCCGACAATCTGGACCTAGACCCTGAGACCTCAACAGCCACACCCTCGTACTCCAGAGCCCTAAACCCGGAACCCCGACATAAACTGGGCTCCTGCTAAGGGATGTAGCTTAAGATACCATAATAAAAAAACACGTACTATCTGCCATAGATCTCCATTATGGTAACTTCAATTAAACTCCTGAACAAGAACCCCCCTAAACCCTGAAACCCTAAACCCTTATTAAGCCCTTAAACCCTAGACCTTCAAACCTAAATCGAAGCCAGTGCCAGGCGTGGGAACCTGCCTTCTCTTCCTTCTTCGAGGTGCCTTGCGGTTTGGGGTTTAGGGTTTAGGGTTTTAGGGCTTTGTGAGGGGTTTAGGGGGTGCTTAACGGCTTGGCGATCGGGTGTTATGAATACTGCGAATGGGATTTGGAGGCTAGGTTTGGCGCTTGGGGCCAATAGCCATGTAGATGGGCGTTTGGTCAGCTCTACGATTTGGGGTTGTAGGGTGGAGGGCTCGAACAGACAAGAAAGTTTCAGCAAAAAGTATAGAGGGTGTTTCAGAGCTTTGTCTGGCTGTATGGGGGCTTGTGGTGGCCTTTTGGGCCCCTGTCTTCAAAGCTGCTAACTCCAACGCGAAAGGCTTCAAGCGAGCAGTTGCCAGCGATGTGTCGAGCACCTCCTGCAGTGAAGCGACTGCCAGCCGAGCCTGGTGCACGACAACACGGTCAAGGCTCGAACTTTCAGTGAAAGTTTGGGGTGTCGGGATGAAGAGTTGGCAGAGTTGGGGCCCTAAACCCTAAACCCCTAAGCCCAAAGTTTGGAGGGGATTGAGTTGAGAATTTTGGGGTTTAGGTTTGGAAGGCTTTAGGTCATCCGCGGCTTAGTGTTGAGGACTGAAGATTTTGGCGCTTTAGAGTTCGGGGTTTGGGGTTTAGGGTTTAGGGTACCCTAAACCCTAACGCCTTTACTAAGGCTTGGCATTTAAGTCTTGCGAGTTTTGGGAAGTAGGGTTCGGGGGTTGGTGTGAACATGGGGGCCTTAATAATTTTGAATAGTTAAAGGGGCTGCTATAAGGGTTTAGGGTATAGGGGCCTTAAATATTACAATAACAGTTTGGGGCCCACTATACTATAGTTATAGCAAGGAACCCCCCAAAATACTGTTGATGATAAAAAAAACCCTGCATTACCTGAAGGACCCATAACCATAACTATAAGAATTAAGGGATATGCCTCATTATGGGTAATGCAGGATTTATATCAACCGTTGTTTTGGTGATCATTTAGGCCCCTACATTACTCGAAACCCTACAGGCCGGAATGCCAGATTTCAGCTTGCCTTCATTCTTGGAAAGTTAGGAACATCGGAGGCAGGTTTTGCAGGGCAGAGCGTGCCCAAGTCTAGCAGAGCTTCGCTTGAACTCATAAGTTCCACATTTCTGAAAAGGTTTTGGGTGTGATGGCTCCCGACATCCTAAAGCCTAGCCCTAAACCCTAAACCCTGAGCCCTAAGCATCCCTCTTGGGTAGTTTGTGAGTTTTAGGGTTTAGGGTTTGGGTGTTATGCAGCATAGGGGTCTTACTAGTTTGAACAAGGTTTTGGGGATTCTTTTCGTAGCATACTAACACTGAATTGGGACTAAGGCCTGTAGCGCTTCACGGTCAGGGCGTAGGCATCTTCATGTTTGGAGATTCGGGTGCAGACTTTCTTAGCCTCGACGGATTTTGGGACTGAAATTTGGGGCTTGGGGCCCAGAAACAAATCCTGAAACTGTACGATGCGTGAAACCGCGGACATAAATTTTGCAACCTCAGAGTACTTCTAGTCACTTCGTGTCTAAAGTCTTGATGACCTCTGATCCCTTTCGCCATCTAATATCTAAGAAGACGGGATTGACGTTCAAGACTCCAGCGGTCTGGTGTCTTTTTGAAGCCTTTGGCCTAATCAATGGAACATGAAGCAATGTGCATAGATTTTCGTACTGTCCGATGGACAACCCATCACACTTCACTGCAGTGCCTCGCGTTCTCACCATCTTTTCCAAGCTTTCAAGAACCAACCCGCCTTAAATCACTAAACGGTTAGGGTTTAGGGTTTAGGGTTTAGGGTTTAGGCTTTAGGCTTTAGGGTTTAGGGTTTAGGGTTTAGGGTGTAGGGTTAGTGTTAAGTCCTAAGCCCCGGCACAAGGTCGCTTTAAGGCTTTCAGAGTGCCATGGCAGGCTCTGGATAGCTCTTGGTCGTGAGCGCTGCGGGCATAGGCCTTGTCCTACACAAAAGTGTGGGCGGTTCTCAGTCTTCGCCGTCCTGTGAGGGTGGGTAGATAGACCAAACATTCTGTGCTTCATTCTCCCCCTGTCGTGCTTCATGGTACTCCGAAGCAGACGAAACAACATCACCACAAGCGAAGCCACAGATGACGGCACAGATCACAGCTGCTAGTACCAGGAAAGCTTCCTGGACAGGCCACCCACTCAACCACTGCAAAAAGCCGACGAGGCTCAACACAGCCAGGACTACCGACACATTCAGCAAAGTCAGACGCTGATTCCTGTAAACCTTGTTGACTAACATGGACTCATGCACTAGGCAGATGTCCCACCAGAGGCTCAGCACCGGAAGGCTTGATGGGATGGGCTGGCCTAACAAAACGGCTCCGCAAATGGCAAGCGTTCCAACAATGCCAGCGACTGGGCCTTGCTCGATAAATGTAGCCGCTTGTCGGAGAAAACCGGGTGAACAGGTTAAACTGTCATCATCGAACTGGTGACATGAACATCCACGGTACCTCGATGTGCAATACATCTCCGCTGCTATCCACGGCAGTGCAGCGCAGGCTGCCGACAAAGGGGACCAGCGATGCAGTACGTAGTACAGACCGAGGAAGACGAGCTCGAGGAGAAGCAGCAAAGGACCCGCTGCCACAGATCCAACGGTCACCGGTAGCTCTTCGACAGGCACCCGGCATTCGTCACAAAGGAGCTGGACCAGGAAGAGCTGACAATTGTGGAACAGCAAATCGTAGAACGATCCATGAAGGGGAACATTCTTGGCTCTGATGCAGAGCTCATATGGAGAGATGTCTTGAATGCGCAGAATGCCACCACCCTGGTTCATGATGTAATGACCGCATCCATCATCATAGATAAAGCTATGGACAAGCTCCTTCACCTCCTTCGAATCTTCTTCGTTTCGAAAGCTAATGAGCGCAACAAGATCATGTAGTCGCTTCGGTTCGAAGAGAAGACGCACGGACGGCTGATGCAAACTCTGGCCTTGATTGAAGAAAGTGCCCCTAAGCTCGTCCTGCAGGTTGGAAACAAACGTCTGCGGAGGAAACTGTTGCTGACGGTCTGGTTTTCTTTCTACCCAGGCCCACAGATCACGATGTCCCACTTGCCTGGTGATGAGAGGCATCCGCAAATAGCGCATCTTGCAGCGACTTCCAATCCAGCGGAATCCTGTCTGCGTGTCAATTGCCGTCAGCTCCACCACGAAGACATCGCCATCCTCAAAGATCCAGACCGATGCCCAGTGAGAGGCAATGCCTTTGCCCACCAGGATAACGTAAGCATTTTGCTTGCTGTTACTCAGGCCCTGCTCCTCTACCAGACCGACATCGTTGGGAATGTTCTCTTTGCTCGAGACTCCCACAGGTGCCGTAAAGGTCATCCCTGACAGTGCCATGGCTATCAGATGGAATTTCGATTTGAAACAATACTTGCCTATCACTGAGCTAGAAGTCCAGTTGGGCGCAGCTTGCAAGTACGTCTGCCCTTCCTTTTAAGCCAAACGCCTAGTTTCAGGTCTGCGGGCTTGCGGGCTTGCGGTTTGAAGCCGAAGTGGCAGAAAGGCATACCATGTAGGACTTCAGCTTGTATGGTTGCAAGGATTAGGGGCTTCGATTTGACAATAACAGAGCTTAAAGTTTAAGGGGGTTGGGGTTCAGGGTGTCAGTTGAATCTGATGTGGTGGCTTTCGAACGCTGGGTCCTGCCAGAGTGTGTTGCTCTCGAGGGTGCAAGGGCAAAGCTGCAACAAAGCGATGCTTGGATCATCCACGCTCTCCTTCGCACCGACACTCCGAGCTCTACTCCCAGAAGCCCCAAAGAACCCCGGGCAGGTCCATTCACTATCTGAAAACCCTAAACCCTATACCCCAAACCCTAAACCCTAAAACATTATCTGAGAACCCATCTCGTAGAGTCTAGCACAGGCCCAAGATCCAAGTGAATGAGAACAGCATCAGCCAAGAGCACTAAGGATAGCTGTGACTCGGTCGTATTATTAGGGGTACCCCTTAAAGGGTACCCCTTCTGAACCCTACTTTTGGCTCTCTTAAAAGGGACCTTATTGAGAGGGTCTATATCCCCAAGGGTCCCCCTAATCCTAGAACCCTAAACCCCAAACCCTAAACCCTGAACCCTAAACCCCAAGCCCTAAACCCTGAACCCTAAACCCCAAGCCCTAAACCCCGAACCCTAAACCCTAAGCCCTATGACGAAGGAAGTGAAGAAGCCAAT